CCTGCTGGCTTCGAGATTTGGAGCCGCCATGGAAATAGGGGATAATGGGGACCACACCCGTCCTGCGGATCCACGGCCGCTCATAAACGTCGACCTTTCTACATCTCCGCAGGCTCGAGGTATCCATTGTTTGGAATTCAACATCTCCCGGTCACCCGTGTCGATTTCGTGCTCCACGTCCCACAACTCGGCGCGGCGGTGGGGAGGGGGAGGGCGGTTTATCTGCGGCTGAGGGAGGATTGATTGTATCTAATGGATCATGTGGGTGTATGATGGGTTGTGCAATTCTAGAGGGTTAGAGGGGGCCATGCGGCGTCCTGTATTTAGCCTCACCGGCGCCATCTTAATGAGTTCCCCGTTTTATGGCTACTACACATTCTCCGCCAAGTTGTTATCGTTGACGCCCGCACCTTCACATAGTAATGTATCTCCTCGCCGCTGGTTAGATGATTGTCAGCATAAAATCTAAATCAAAGACCAGCTTCTTGTATAATTGGGTCTTTTAGCTCAGCCCTGAGAAAGTCCTTGTTGGTTTTGTTGCTCGTGTCCATCAAGCCATTCCATTACTCTTAGAAATACAGATATTTACACCTGTTGCCAAAAGGTTTATTCTATTAACTAGTATTTCCACACCTCCACGTCTTCTACTTTTCGTTGTCAAACCGCGTTGGTGTTGGACAGTTTGTAGGGTAATTGTACGTCGCTTTCTCATCAAGGTATCCTTTCACGTCCTTGCGGGTTCTTGGATCTTTCACATAACTATGATTGATTTATTAATTAAGTTTGGTACCCACCGTTGACTCGAAGATGGGAGAGAACTGGAATTCGGACACGACGGGACTTTTACTCTGTTCTACACGGCATCGATCCCACGACTGCACGGCTCGTGAGGAGAGTCCTCGACTGGCTGATGGACTCGGGGAAGCTGCCGATGTACAACTTAGCCAGGAGGCTCGAGCTGGAAGCGGCGGCCTGAAGCGCCCCCGTTCGGAGGCCAGGAGGCCTCCTCTCTTTGTATACGCAGACTCACCAGAACGCATCGTTCCTTGATTGTTGGTATGGGTTTTTCACCCGGCCCGGGAGGGCACGGTTTTCCTGTCCACTAAATAGCTGAGGGTCCGGCACGCCCTAGGGCATAGCGGAGTATGAATAATAATAATTAAGTTTGGTACCAAAACTATATATGCTAGTTCATACTTTTACCATACGTCTCTTGACCAGAAATGGGTTGGGGTAGGTAATAATGAAGAATGTAGTAAAGAGTTCGGGGCTCCAAGGTCAAGCCGAAGCGCCTCGCAGACGGAAGGCCACAATAGGGGCCCGGTGGAAAAGACAGAAGTGTAATTGTTGGAATGGCATTGGAGTCAGAGTTAATCAAATATCCAAATAACGAATATTTGAAGAGGTATAGATCGATATTGAAGGTTGAGTAAGAGATGTATGGCAGACTCTTGAAGTCTTAGTTTTCAATGCCATCCACGAGACGTGACTAATACCTCGAGGAGTGTAAGACTCATTGATAATATTATGTTTGTCCCCTTGTGCACTTGATGTGGATTAATCATACTTGGGACTGACCTTATGTCTCGTGGACTAAGATTCGGCAAAGGCGGGGAATGGAGCGACTCAACCACCTACTGTGCATAACTACCACCAATCAATCTCCCATCTCCCGTGTCTTGCTCTCAACCTTCCTCTCGGATGTAGGCATTTCCGTTCACTTACCCATGTCCTCATTCCGTTGGAGATGACTCGGCTCATCCGGGACGAGGCTGCGGCGCGGGTTTGAGCAGCGCGCCCGCGCAGCGCTCGGCGAGCCCGTGCAGGAAGGCTCGAAGCCACCTCAAACTAGCGGCGTACGCCTACGTACAGGGCGCGATGCGAGGCGCCGGATCTGGCAGATGCGGAAGCAGGGCGGGCCGTCCGAGATCTGACCGCCTGCTGCAGCACCCTGGATGTATGTATGTAGGTATAAATCGTGCGGATGCACGGCTGCCAGCCTCGGAAGATGGAAGCAAGGCTTTACTTTACGTACCTAGCATCTAACGTTGATACCTTCCCGCCCTGCTGTCTCACGTTGTCTCAATCTGTGGATATTACCGTTTTTTTTTGGTTCATTTGTTGGGAATCCGGGGTAGTGAACCGGTGTTCGTAGGTATGTCCATCTTGTTTGTACCGGTACATCCCAAAAAGCAAAGCGCAATCGGCGAATCCAGTTGAGAAGGAGTCCGGGTCCAGCCCCAGCTGGACAGGGTGTTCGTGGAAGTGAGGCTCTTGGATCGACAGTGCAGCCGCAGTCGCTTCCAAGGTTTTGTGGTGGGCGGCTGGCGTGATGTGGCAGGGGGCGGAAGGATCCCTGTTTCTTCAAACTCTCGAATCAGGTGGGGCGCATGATCCATGGGGCTGGGTCTGGGTTCTGCCGAGATCAAGTGGCAGATCTGATCGTGTTTGGGGCACGCGGTGGTCATCTTGGCGCGTCTTTTAGCGAATCTCTCAATCTTCACTTCGCTCAACAAAAGCGGCTTCGAGGCGGCCGACCGCAGCAAAGAGGTCGAGATTGCGGATGGGAAAAAGGGATGCTCGGGATCTTCGGTCGAGAGGAGAGGTGCGGCCGTTTGACCGGAGTTGGCCTATTTCGGAAACCCACAACCGTTATTATTATTTTCCTCGATCGGCAACACCGAAAACCACACCTTTCCCCGGTAGTTGTCTCGGCCCTTCAACCGCAACGAGCAAGGTGAGGCGTCAGTCCCGGAATCCCGCCCAAACACGGATAGGTAAGGCGGCATCACACGGCAAACCCCACGGCCGAAAAATAATAGCCGACTTTTGTGTGTGTGCGTGTGTATGTGTTGCCGTTGAGGGAACAGCGATGTGTCGTCGTTGTAGGGCACAATCAATATCCGTGGGTGTTTCAGCGCCCTGGTTGGTTCGCATACCCACGGGATAATGAGCGGGCTCGTGGATTGCGGATTGTGCTGCTAGTCTCAGGCTCGAACGTTTGACACGATCAAGTCAAAAGTTGTGTCTTGCAGCACACATGCCCCCCCTCACACTCGAGTCCCGCACTCTGGTGTTGCCTGCATGCAGGGTCCAAACCGGGAAGGTACCACATCAAAAAACGCGGCCCAATTGCATGCGAGACATTTAAATCTGATCCGATGCGGGGGAGGAGTGGACGTAGTGTAACGGCGAGAAAGTACAGATTAGCGGGGATGACGCAGATGTCTCATGGAGAGACGGGGGTTGCGGCCACCTGGCTAAGAGTCAACCCAACGAGTCGAGTTAGTTAGTTTAGTTAAGCCTCGGCCGGCCAACGGAAATGATGCGAGGTCGCCGACATGCGGTGAGTTGCAAGAACAAGGGAAAAAAAAAACAGAGGAAAAGGGTGGGAAAGGGCAACTTGAACATGTTATTGGCTGCGAAGCCCACTGTAGCGCGGTCCCAGCAGGCTGGGTGCTGCTGTTAGCGCGGTCCTTTGCCGGCGATCTGCGCCCTTGATTGGTTTACCGGTCGCTGGCACCGCCGATTTGCCCAGGCCAAACCGAAAAATACTCGTGCCTTCTCCAGCATCTCTCATCGGCCGACTGCGATTCCGAAGTCGCATGGGAGATGTCGCAACATGGCTGCATGCTCAGCTGGCCCAACGCCAAGTCCCCTCCGAGAATCGTGCGTTTTCTCAGCTGCCGGTGTCCAATCGTCGCCACCGCCTTTCGACGGCAACTGTTGTGTTGGCCATTGATGGATCCTCAATTGGCATATTGGCGTTTGTCATTGTTTTGATTACCCCATTGACCGAAATGTCCCTTTCCCGACTCTTCCGTCGGGAGCGGGCGGGTGCAAAAGAATGGGATGTTATTCAGCTGGGATGAATAGATCTCGGTGAATGTGTGGTTCTGATGTCTCCGTGTTCTGAACGGCTACTGCCGCAATCTGCATTGCATTGCATCCGCCCCCTTCCACACAAACCCTCGATGCTGTGTCACCAAATCGCCTTCCCCCCTTTTATTGCGCATACCGCACGGCACGAGTTGGACATCGATGTACTTTTGCATAGGTGTTTGAATAAGCAGCGCTTTACCCCCTACAGCTACAGTCTATGCATGAAGAGGGAATACATACAGTGCATCCGCGAAGCCGAAACAGTCAGACCAGCCGACCTCCTTTCCTCCTTTTGCTTTTCCGACCCCAGACCATGCCGTGTATCCACCCTATCTCCAATCTTGTGACTCCCGTGCCATATCTGTCGTGTACAACATGGTCCAGTCATGCTCGTATCTCTCTCTCTGTCCACAACAGCCCCGCCGAGTTCCGTGTGATGGTTGCCCAATCGGACCTGTGCGTGTGTGTGGTATCCTCCGATTTTTCCTCCTCCCCGTGAATCATCATCGTGAGACTCCATCCGCCCACTCATTCCTTGCTCTCCAGTTCCGAGCAATAACAAAAGCAGGTACACCGAAACGCCGGAACCAGCAGAAGAGCCGGATCACCAGCCGCCCTCCCCCCCCGCCCCCCGCGCGCCAAAAAAGAAACCGCCACCCCTTTCATTGGAGACGCCGTAGAGCAAGCCTTCTATTCCCCCTTGTCATACGCTCCAGTCCAA